TTTTAAGTTTGAATTTGCTATTTCGCTTTAAGCAGGCGTGGTGTTGTGGTGACAAATTCCCTAAACTTCCGCATGTGAAAAGAGGTCTTTACTCAGCAAGGTCCGATAGGATAATGGTGATGTTGATCATGTTATATAAATGATGTTTTCAAGGTGGCAAAGCCTAACTGTCGTCAAGTTACTACAGGTCGAACATGGACTGGAGCGACAGGGGAATTACTACCCTCTCACAGAAGTAGCCTCGATGCATCCGATGAGTGCTTTTTTCCATATCATCTTCCTTTTCCTGGCCTTTCCTTTTTCCTACCCTCTAATATCTTTCTTCCCCAATTAAGAGTAGCTTATCATCCGCAAAACTATGTTGCATATATCCCTTTATTATCTCTTTAGCCTAAAAAATTAAATAAAAAATCAACATGGAAATAACGAAGGAAATTAATGTTAGCCTCATTGAAAATTGAATTTTCATTTTCATTTTTATAAGCATATCATTAGTATTAACGAGATAATTTAATGAAATAAAAGGGAGTGAGTATATGTATAATAGCATATAATTGTTTTTATAAAATATATAAAAATAATAGTATATGTTGTATATGGCGTCTTTTATTGCTTTATTTGACGTTCGGCTCACTGCGGGTTCCGTCGGTGATAACTTGAATTTGTGTTTTTAAAATCACATCGTTTATTTAATTTACAACCACGTTAACAAACGTTTTATTGATATAGAAACATTAAAAATGTTTATTTTATTATTGTATTTATAAATATACATGGGAAACTAGAAGCTTATAATATATTGGGAACTTTTGAAATCTAACGCAGAGCATCTATTAATCGTTTTTGTAGAGGCGCTCTTAAGTAATATCGTAATTAAGGAGGTTTGTTTAAGATATAGAGGGCTAGGTAGCGTTAGGTGGCTACCTGTGATTGCTTGTAATTGTTCCCAAGACATTTTTACAAAGAAATAAATCAGAGTATAATATCTATTTGACCCAGATTCGTAACAAAATAACAAAATTTTAAAACATTTTATACACGAAATCTAGATTTAAAAAGTGGAATTTTATTGTAAAATAAATAAAATTCACTTGAATTAATTATACATACTTATAAATCCTATTTCCCCTATCGAGCTTTTGTTTGATCTTATATTACAAAGCTTTTATTAAATCATAATCAAAATCTGAACTGTAAAAGGATTTTTCAATGCAATCACTTTAAACTAATTTCACTTAGTAATAATGTTGTTAGTAAACATAACTGATATATTAATGGCGTTAATGGAAAGAGCATTATTCAAAAGGTCCAAGTCGCGTGCGGTTGACACAAAGAACTTAATCCACGGGGACTATACAATGGGATTGGTCTAAAAAGCTAATATATCAATAGGGGATTGCACAATAATGCTTCAGTCGAGTTAAAAGCACCCGATTTGATTCAATGCGTAATACAATCTTGGACATTTTTTGCAAAACAAACAAACCACCAACCTAGATATTTTTTGCTCACCAGATGTTGATATCAACGTCTCGGTGATCGATGCGATATATATTAAAAATACATTGAATAGCTCTTCTATTAAATACTTTCATTTTGGGAAAGTTTTGACTAAATATTATTTTTAACATTACTCAGCGCTTCGCAAACTATACTACGATATCCTGTCAAAGGAACATCCGCAAAGGTGGTGGCAAATAAAGGCTTATTCGTCATATTTTTCATAATCAGTGCAGCAGATGCGAAAGGATTGCACATTGTCAAGGTGTTCATCTTAGCTTGTGCCATATTCGATATTAGATTCGGCATCTGTTTGCTTTTACTCTAACCTATAATTTTATATATTAAATTTGGATGTCACCCAGATTGCCGTATTAAAATTGATATTACTTTTTCTTATATCGCTTGTTCATCAGTTTCATTGCCTCTGTAGTATGACCCAAATTCCTCTTGTAATCTTTTTAAACATTTTATTGGTGCAAGAAGTTTTTAATGATTCTATGAATTGTAGATTTTTATGCACATAATTACATACTTGCGTCCAAATCAGTTAAACATCAAATTGAATAAGAAGGTTTTGGAATCATTTTCGGACAAAATAAGTTGAAAAATCTAAGCAAATTTTTCTTATGGCAAGAAATAAAAATAAAAAAGTCTATACCTGAATAAAAAAAAAATTATAATTTTGATTATATAAGATGAAAATATAAACGCTAATCTACTAATATTGATATAAATACACTAAAAAATATAGTTTCGTATACAATTATTAAATCAAGAAAATATTGAGCGATGTGTTTGTTATTTTTCACTGTAGACATTTATTCTTTTTTTAAATTATAAAAAGGGTATTTTATAAGTAAAAAAGAACCTAAATCAATTTGGTACATTTTTAATGTTATCATTGTCTTTAAATCTTTGACCTGTAATAAAAAAAAGTAATCTAAAAACATTACTTGACATTCAATAACAATTATTTATGATGTATTAAATAAATTTTATATCATGAAGAGTAGAATTTTCTTCGGAACTATTAAAGTCGTGAGCCGCTATTTGTTTAAAACTGTTCATTGTAAATGTCATGGAATGTCTAGATGCCCGAAGTTTATATCACCACTTATATGTAGGTTTTAGTGCAACCTGTACTAAATTTCAACACTGCAGGTATAGAAGAATGTTTGTGGAAGCATTTATTAATGATCCAATTGTATCGAGATTTGTGGGGAAGATTTTTTTCCTTATATAACTGACAATATCGATCGTTCAGACTGGTATGGATGGCTGTTTTAAAAATTACCATACAAATATCAGTCTCATATATATTTAATAGTTTTGTTGCAACAAAATTTTGCTCTCCTAGATGCTTTATGTAAATGAGTGAACCTATGTTTAATATTATTTATAATAATTGACCGTTATCTAACTTCTGTATATTAAGAAATGAAGGTACTCGATCAAACTGTGTCGGATCATAATTTTAATGCCTTTTACACATTATACGATGGCATTTAGTAGGACTCACAAAGGTTGTAATTATCTACAATGGTTCTTATTCTATTATAATGTAAGATGTCTCTATTTTGCGATTCTCTAAAGTGTGGGCTAGTTATTTGATGCCATTGTATCCGTGCACTATTGTATTTTGCAGTGCATGTATCACTCCCACATTTTTATTATATTTTGCGAATTCACTTGCAGGAAGAGGCATGTCATGATGGATGGGGGTCCTGTGATCGGAGAGCGAGAATTTATTCGACTCTGGGGAAACATTAAGATAATCTTCGGTATAGTTTAGATAAAACTTGAGAAAAATCATACTTAAATTATTTAGGTATACGTTGTTGTAACCTTTTCACTAACAATAACTTGTACTTAAGTTAAGTAACAGTAATTAACTTAAGTAACCTGTTACTTAAGTACTTAATGCCTAAAATCCTGTGAAATTATTGTGCATAATAATTATTAGAAATAAAACTATATTTAAAATCTCTCTTATTTAGAATGATTGATAATAATATTTTATAGAACTTTTGTTTAAATATTCTAACTAAGAATGTGTTCTTTTTATATCAGTAGTTAACTTTAAGACTAATTATTAGGAAATGCAGAATATATCTACAATGCTATTTCAACTTAATAAAATATAAAAACAGGCTATTGTCACTAGTTTTTAATGACGCTGTTTTCGTCATTCAAAGTCAGGTAGACTGAACAAATCAATGGGCCATAATTGTATATGAATTACTTGGAGGCGACACCGAGTCTATTAAATTCAAGTTAAGCGCCTACAAGAATGATTGAAAGCCTCTAGACAATCGAGAGCGTCTCAAAGACTGGCCCAAATTCCTCTTGTAATCTTTTTAAAGTGCAATATGACAATGCTGAACCCATTGAAGAATACAAACCGAGTTTTAAATTAATATAACCATTTGAGAATTCAATGAAGTCTACACCGCCCAGGGCGCCAGAGTTTCATTTTTAATTTATTCTGCATAAATTTTCAACCCTAATATCAATACATAAAGTATATTTTAAATTGAAATATTTTAGTAGGTATTCCTATTGGTTCTGGTCTTTGTCGTTATACAAACATAAACTCGTTGTTTCATTATTTTTGGGGCTGTAATAAATTTCCCATTGCACAGTGCAGTATTGTAATTTTACCATTTGACTCTTGCGATACTTTAATTTATAGTAAAATATCTATCTATATACAAAATAATATAAGTGTATATAATTCATATTTAATAAGTTCACCAATTAAATTTCCAATTTTTTTAAAAGATTTCTTATTTTTATATACAGGGCGTATTACAGTACAAATTTAATAAAAAAATACAGTTTGTCATGATTTCATTTTTAAACATGCTTAGAACATCGAATTAAAAATACATATATTTTTTTATTTTCAATGTGGATTGTGAAAACCTTAACTAGATTAAGTGTTTGTAAATAAACGTCATATCTTAAAAGATAATAATAATCAAGGGCGCAGGAATGAGAAATATTATTATTACCATATAACCATAATTTTAATACTTTTTATACGTTCTAGAAACTGATTTTATTTAGATTGATGTTGATAATATATGTAAAAACAGAAAACTATAAGTAATAATGAAGAAAGAATTTTTAAATGTAGTAATGGCAGTTTAAAATTTAATATTTGAATCTAACCATATATTCTGTTTGATGTATATATTTGACTTGAGATGTATTAAATTTTCTGAATAGTTTTCTATTCTCTCTTTTTAGATTATATATGGGTAATAGTGATGTAGTGTAGAATAAATACTTGTAGGTTAAGAAATTGTACGGCACGTGTATAAAGTTTCGGGCTACTCAATCAAATATAAAAAATATCCAGGTACCGATCCAAAAAAATGGAATAGGGGTGGGAGTGTTCCCTATTCATTTTTTTGGTCAGGTGGGCCATATAAAGGCCTGCGGGATCCCAATGCATTCATTCACCAGAACGTTGAGCTCATACAAACTACAATATGATTCAAACCAAGAACTATACTGGCTTTTACAAGAACGAGATCCCAAAATTCGTCCCAATCGCTCCCATCATAGATCAAGAAATGGATTGCACAGTGCGAAAATATAATTACAAAAATAATTCCGGACAAGCAGCATCGATTGCGAGGCGCAATGCAAGAGAGAGGAATCGCGTTAAACAAGTTAATGACGGTTTTAACGCTTTAAGGAAAAGATTACCCGCTGCCGTTGTGAATGCATTATCTGGAGGCGCTCGTCGAGGATCCGGCAAGAAATTGAGCAAAGTCGATACATTACGAATGGTAGTTGAGTACATAAGATATTTGGAGAATTTAATCGAAGAAAGTGATGCTTCATTGGGAGTTACCAAAGAAAATCTTGATCAATCTGCAATTGATGAGGGAATATTTGGAAGAACATCACCGTACTCTGACTCTGTCCCATCGCCTGCTAACTCTGAATGTTCATCGGGTGTGTCGTCAAGCTATTCAAATGATCATTACCAAATTAATACTCACAATAATTACTATAGTGAAGTAAACGCAGTAAATGATAGTGAATTATTAGATGCAATTTCTTGGTGGCAGCAAAAGTAAAGTTTCGTATGTTTTTGTGTTTATCTAGTCACTAGCAGAATGTTATTTTTCTTTCTTGGTATTTCATAGAATTCGCAATACTTTGTAAATATTTAAATATAATGGTATATAAATATGGCTGTGCTACTAATATATTTTTTGTAATATATGTAATGATAATAATATGAATAAAATTAATATCAAAAATAATTTGTTTTAATATTCCCCAAAGAAAAAAATATATGATTATTATAAGTGTTTAAGGAATTTGATATTAAGAACTTCTACTACTATATATAATATTTTTGTATGTTGAAACGAATTAAAAAGAAAGATATCTATAGTATGTATAAGATATAGCGAGAACTTTGGTTTGAAGGTATGTTTACAACATTTATTTTCAATACACATGTGTTCTAATTAGTCCGTGTACCTCACATTTGATTTGAATTGTAATTAAAACACTTTATTGGTGCCGGAAGTTTTTAATGATTCTAACGTTAGTCGGCTTTATACAATAAACATTGACTTTGTCAAATTGTATAAGATTTAAATATCAGAGTATAGAAAATGTTGGTAATGACAGGTCTGTTTTCAATATAATCTTTTCAATATAAGTTACGGTTTACAGCATTGCAAAATAATATTTCCCGTAAATAGCTTCAAAAAACAAAATTTTTATGCATTATTTTTATTGATAATAAAATGAAGTCATATAAATCGTTTTATTTAAGGCTTCCGTAGCTCAATATATTACAATTATTAACTATCTGCATAAAAATAACAAGTAAAAGAAATTTTTAACACTCGTTAATGAAAATAAAGCATCACAAAGGCTGTTCATTCGCATATCGAACACGATAACTCAAAACAGATATAAAGTTTTTAACCTTTATTAGCGGCTTGATTGCAGATATGAATCTTTTGTCTATATAGATACCGTTGAAATTGGAAACAGTTGATTAAGATGTTACTGTGAGGACATTGTTATACAAGATAAACGGCGGTTGGTGTAGATAAGGAGCCAAATGCGTATATACATATGTGCGACACAGATAATCCGACAAAGGTTTTTAAGTCAGATATCTCCAACACATTATCTGTATTGTGGCTTTGGTTATATATTTCAATGTTCTATCGTCTTGATAAATTATTTTTAAATAAATATGTACTACATAAAATATTAATATTTTTACATAAACAAGCTTATCATCCCGTTTTTTATATTTATTAATTTAAAGTAATTATTTTGTTATTATTTGTAATATTAACTAGTATTCAAACAAAGCTTTAACCGTCTCACTATTAAGATGCAAAGATGTGGAAGAGAAGCTCTATTTCTGACAACCTTGTCTGTGCGTGAAGTTTGACTGCTTAAGAAACTTATAGAATAATACAAGCAAATTTATTTATAAGACTAAAAAATGTCTCACTAATTAAGAGTTTAACATCACAGTCTTACATTACTTACTTATAAATTCAAACTACCATTATTTTATAAAAAAGACATCTTTACTCTATGGTAAACCTCTATATATTGTTTGTCATGGAGCGGTTTACCAATTGCGTGTTACCAGTAGACCTTTAAAGATTACTTAAATGTTTATTTCCTACTTCCATACTTCCCGTAATAAAGAAACGATCCGTGGATCCCGGAATCTATTAAAATGTAGTGCCTTTTGTTATACATATGTTACAACTAATCTTCTTATGTATCGCACGTGGTCTTGGTTAAGTCGTGATTTTGGTGAAATTTACACGATCAGCCAAATCAACAATAATATTAAAGTTAAAACTTTTTTGACAATCACGTTTTGCAATGATCTTGAAAAATAAGATTTAATTTTTGTTTAATTAGGAGTTTTATCAGAAATGTAATATATTTTTTTTTTACTACTGATTTTTTTTGCGTTCATATTGATTTAAATTTTAAACCACTCTTTATGTCGATGTTAGCGCTAAATTACTTTCCTTTCAAGATGATAGGTAGTTATCAGCTCTTACAAAAGAATCAACCACTTGTAAAATTTTAATCGTCAAATACATTTACGGGCCATTTTTCTATGAACAAAGAAAGCGGATATTTGGATTATGGTTATTATAAGTGATAATTCTATAATTAGTTTTACGTTGAACTTAAAACTTGTAAAGTTAAATTTGTTTATTAAATTTTAATATTGATCTGGCGCCTGCAAAAAAAGAAAACTGCTTAAAAATTTTCATCTCCGTATATATTAAATAAACTTGAATCACTTTGACATCATATCAAGGTTGAAACAATATCATTTTGTACGAATTATTTGCGATGATTGACGATATAAAAACAGTAACAAGTAAGCAGTTTCAATTTCAAATTGATATGTCGACGGTAGTTGCGCATAAATTACAGGACATACGGACAGACATTAAGACGGGACCCGTCGTATGCAAATGCTTTATAGCCGTTCTTCGGGTAAGATTTAATGTAACAGGATAAAGAAAAGACGTAATTCACTTGGCTATGATAATTGAATGTCAGTTATTAGGGCTAATGCATGTTTTAAATTTATTTTGAACTAATTATGATATAAGTGCATCAAATATGTTAAAATAGTCACGTTTAATATTTTTTGCTATATATATTATTGCATATAGATATGATTCACATGGCATAATTAATGTCGGATATAAACATCCTATGCCGGCGGGAACGTGTGATTTAAAAAGTATAGTGACTGTTTTACCAACTGGTTACTACATACATATACATATTATATACATATAGTCAATGTTTAGTGCATATAAAAGATAAATATTCATAAAACTTTTATCTTTCTCTGAATTATTATGAATGAAGTTATGATTAAAAAGATTCATCTGCGTGAAGTGAAAGAGAAATTCAATTATCAGCTATAATTAGATGTTAACATAACCACTTGACCGCAAATTTATAAAGTATCAAATTACAAAAATGTTGAATGGTTTTTCTTTACTATATAAATTTGAAATGTACCTTATAATTTTGTTATTCAATCAATGTAAATAATTGAATTTTCCCGAAACCTCATACAAATAACAATTTTTATATCAAAGATAAATTAGAATGTAAGACACTAATGCCATAGCTAAAATTCAGTTTTACGATTGATCATTTAAACTTGTAACCGTTATATAACTTAGTGAACTGGAAATAAATATTAAACATTGCAATTTTGTATAAAAATAATATTTATATGATAAAAAAAACTATTAATCGTCCCTCAGTGCTCGTGAAATCGGAAGATCTTTGTAACGTGCAATTTGAGATACATTTCCGCACGAATGATGCGAAATAGTTAGCACTTATCGTTGTTTGCTACATTTTTTTTACTTCCTCACTTGTGGTTGCATTCGTATTTTTATTTGTATTTGTAGAGCCCTCAAAATTTCTAATGAATGTTTGAAATTAAATTCGATAACTTGGTAGCCATCTTTGCTTTTAATGACATAAAAAGTTTTAGTACTTTTTGTGTTATGCGGTTTTATGAGTTTGCTGATCGTTTAATAATGTCGGCTTTCTTTTGACATAATATTTAAACACATTTTGTTGTAAATTATCTATAATTAAAAAAACATATAACATCTTTTAACTTAAAGTCTTAAACTCCTGTAATGAAATTACATTGAACAAAGACTGGTTTTTCATTTATCGACACATTTATGAATGTATATAATAATATAGAAGAATAAAAAAATAACCTGATATGAAGAGCTAGATATTACTTATGAAAACCTCAGAAGACCGTGTGACTATTAACTCGACATTAGAAAGAGGCATCAAATAGCCTCTGATGTGATAGAAAAGATAAAAAATGTAAAGCTCTGAGGAGACAGTTGATCGTGACATTAAAGTCGGCGTGAGGCCATAAAGGAGATTATAGGTTAAGAAGGGTTAATGCGCTAGGATTCAATTAGATGGAATAAGCTTAAACCTTATTTAAATACCTATTCGGTGTTATGACAGCAATCAAATTATCAGGGGATATAGCTTCCGTGGTATTACGGTGACAAAGATTATTATTGAATATTTCAATTTAAGCACAGGTTTTTTTTATTTTTATTATAAACGTATGGACCAGTACAAGTGCAAGGAATAAAATGACAACCCAGAAAAATACATATTTATTAGATTAAATTTTTTATAATGTGAGTGTTAGAATGCTTATATTATGACTAAGCAAAGCCATTTGAGTTGAAATTCAGATAAAGTTGTCTTTTACTGAGCAAATAACTGTACATAATCGGAATACAGTAGTGTAAGGTACATTAAAAGTCAAGTACACAGATAATATTATCAATGTGTTAGCGCGTGTCTGCAGGCCTTATGCGGGTAACTTGATGTAAAAACAATGAAAAATAAACTTTATAAAACAGTAATAGAATTCTTTTTTTATCATTATTATTACCATTCTCAAAACTTGTCTTGCGATATGTGTTATTTTTCATATATAGAATATTTAAAATGAATTTGGTGAAGTCGACAAACTTTTTCTGTTTATTTCTCTAGCTGTTTATTTAGCTGAATCTCTTAAAATTTTGATTATTTTATTGCGGATAGAGTATGTAATAGCTCTAGAAAAATTTCATATATAATTATTCTTATAAAAATCCTAGGATGATATGTAGTAAAAATGCATTTATCTGGTAAGATAAAAATGACAATGCAAAACGTGAGGAAACATTAAAAATGATTTCCCACGGAATGCGAAAGCCTTCCGAGTCAGGTGCTCTACTTACCGAAAGGGTTCGTAAATATTTTTTTTGAGCCATTATTCCTACTGATCGACAATCGCTCTCGAGTGTCAGTTTTTTTGACATATAAAACTAATACCGTCCCATCCTCTTCCGCTTGTTTTTATTAAGTCACTTAGTTGATTTAACGTTATAGTAGTCTTTTTTAAATGTGTGCAATATTTTTTCCTTATTTGTTGAGAAACATTATTTATTTATTTTATTTGGATAACCAACAAAAGAAAAACATTATTATATTCATTACATTATCA